ATGGTTCATCATGGTGTTCTTTATTGGAAGGTTCATGCAGGAAATCGATCAATTCCTATTGGAAAAAGATGAAAAACATGGCCTAAAAACAAAYTACTCAAAGTGAGTACCATGCCAGAGAGTATTTCAACGAGTTTTTACAATAAAGCAAGGTGATATCAAGAAGTGAAACTTTAAAATGTGAAAAAAACGGTGTGTGGATTTCCACACGTTTATTGTCTCGTTATTATATAAACAGAGGCGGTTTAACTTTCTGCATTTCTTTTCTTAGCGATTTTTGGAACAAACTTGATGCTCTCACGATAGTTCTGTACGTCATTACTTTCATTTTCCGTCTTGTCACGTGGTCAGTTACGTCACGGATCATAGAGAATGACTGGCTTGTCGGGTCATCGTGCTTGTATGGCATTAACGCCGCTTTGCTAAGTTTGAGRGTCTTTGGACAGACAATGGAAGTGAAACAAGCAACTGGGACAAAGCAGATTGCCTTRYTSCGCATAATCAGTGCCGTTTTTGTGATCTTCGTACAGATGGTTGCAGCCATTTTAGCATTCTCTTTGATACTTACAAAAATATATGTCAGTGATATCTCATACGTGGGAAGGAAAACATCTCATGGGTGAGTAGACACAATATGGATTTATGATGTATTAGTATAGGTAATAGCAGATTTTGTAGTCGTATTTGGGATAAATACCTCGTGTGATATTTCAAAATTGCCAGACAATTGTGTCATGTCTAGTGTCCTGTTCCATGTTTTAAGTATTGTGAGGTGTGCGTGCGTTGTTCGCARAGCCTTGAGTCTTGTATTGTTTGTGTTGGTCATATTTGGYTAGTGTGCCTTTTCTCTTTCTTTCTGTTTGCTTTTCGTTTATTCATGTTTGTAAATGTTAATAACATCAGCTTAGCAACAATTGGAAGAGGACAACTGAAAGTGATTATCGGAGTTTGTGTGAGCTATAAGACGTTTGCAGAAAAAGGCACTAAGCACTTACGAGCTCACTTACATATACATTTTTTTTTACATAGAGTGTGCTCGTCCTCTGATGGAATCCTTTGGTAAGTGATTATCACTTAAATACATTATAAATTAATGATCAAGCGTATGATCATGGAATGATASGCATTGCGCGAAWCTTTATATAACTTATAAGTTCAATATTGACGTCGGTGATTTAMACGACTTTCAAAAATGGCGGTGGTTCACGGCCGTCAACATAGGGGGATTASTGACGAATCATGAAAACGAGACCTCCAAGGCCTTGTATCTAAAAAAACACCRTAACGATCTCATGTATGGAATTGTCAAAGTTGATAGATGTACTGATATGTCATTTATAACAAAACACTCTAGCAAGACACCAAGTTTACTTTACGAAGGCTGGTCTTTGAGACCTCGTTTATGYGTTTCGTCCCCAGTTCCCTGGTCAGTTACCGTGACATATCGCGCCATCTTTGAAAGTCGTGTATAAAAATTAGGTSATCAGAGTTTTGGCGAGGTTTAAGGGTTTTCTTTGCTCAAATAAGCCTTTTTTTTCTTGTTGGACTTTCTGTATTGATTTCSTAGTTGATTTGCTTATCGCAGGAGAGAGCAGGAGGAGGAAATAGTCTTCTGTTAATTTTAGATCAGACAGAACGGGTGTACGTGCAGTAAAGGCTTGGTTTCAACGGACCCCCTGGTTTACTATTCTCTCTCATCTTTACAGTTTACCTTTTTTCGGTAAATGTGAACTTCTACCGTTAGCTGCAAGTTTCTTTGGCATCTAAATTATGACTATGCTGCATTATTGCTGTAAAAGTTTGATAAAACTCTCTCATTATTTCAGTTGGTGGCTCTTTATTGAGTTCCTTGCATGGTCTGCAGTCGGGTCTAGCGATCCAGATTTGCTAACATTGACAACTGCTGCATCAAACTATATCAGCAAGTCCATTTACATGTTGTTTCTAATTGTTGTTGCTGTCATGATCATGAACATGTTGATCGCCCTTTTATCAAATATTTATCAGTTGGTAGAGGTAAGAATAAATGAAATGAAATGGAGGGAAGTAAACCGGGAACCAAGCACGTGGAACCAAGAAAATATTTCATAAACAAATGTGTAAAATGGTCCACGCAACGAATATAAGTATTAAATTCATAATACATTGGTTGGTAATTCCAATTTCCTAAAGCACGTTTTTTACATCAGCGGGTATGTAATTGAAAATTCCAAACAGACATTCCGGAATTTGAACTCTAGATTTAGTCTAGTTCTGACCTTAATGCAATAGACTTGAGGATTTTTTATTGGTTCAAACCATGTTTTGAGGTACTTTCATAACTGCATACTGTTTATTCCACTAGTCGCTATTATTTTTTCATCAACCGCTAATTAATTGTTGATAGCAACCCTACGATCATACTGTAGTCCAACTGTGTTCTTAAGACTCAATGTACATCTTTGTTGACTTCTAGGAAAATGCATACGCAGAGTGGTGTTACAGAAAGGCATGTCTGATCAAGACATACCGTAATTATCACCCAGTTCCAGTCCCTTTCAACATCATTACTCTCTCCATCAAGCTGTTTTGTGTACTTCTGTTAAAACTCGAACGTAGAGTTCAATGCGTAGAAGAATTTAAACTACGGGAAAAGCATCGTGTAGAGGACCAAGACAACGTCAAAAAAGTAAATTTTAACCATCTTTAAATGTTTCCTAATTTTCAACAGTCCATTGACGACAAAAAAATACTATGATGCTTTTGTTGTAATCTGAATCCTATCTGGTGGAATTCATAATCCTTGTAAAATTTTTCATGAAAACCCCAATCCAGGAGCTTGGAGGAGTCCAAAAGCTTGGAATTCGGGATCCMTTTTTGCTCCGGATTCAGTAGAATGCTATGGGGCGAACATATTGTAAGGCGTTGATGAGAGCTGGACATTGAGGCACCAAGCCGAAGATATGTATTGACAGACTAGCAGTTACTTTTAATTTTAAGATTTAAAAATCTCTAAAGAGAGTGAAAAATGTCATCAAAAAAGTTTTTTTAATGTATTTTTTAAGTATTTATTTATTTTTATTTCTGGGAGTTTTCAATCAATGTGCTGAAATAATATATATCAAAGTTGACGACTTCATTTCATGATAGCTTTTGAGAAAAAGATGCAAGTTGCTCAGTGCCGAATATCTGGCGGAGTTTGGGAATTCCTTTCCTCTTCAAGGTCTGTATTATGGTGGGTTTGATTGAGCAATGCTTATGTATAGAGAGCACTCTTCCCGCAATTCAAATACTATACTAGCCAAGCGAATTAAGCCGAACATTACAACAATATCAAGAAGTTTCAGTGCTATATTCTTCGCATGACTGCAGAAGGTACGAACCACCCAATAGCTAGGCTACGGTCGTCTGGTACCTACCATGACCATAGAAAACATTAAATTACGAAAACATCTGTACTACAGTAAAGTACTGTTAAAATACCATCTTTTTTGCACAGTCATACAAGATTTATTTGTAGTTCCTAAAACCTTTGTTGAATAGGCACACGTTCATTTTCTAACTCCAAGTGGTTTATGCCCTAGAATCGCCAGAAGAAAAGATATTGATAAGAAATCAACGATTACTGAGGCACATTGTTAGAGAAGTTTATTCAGGGGAAACTCAATTAAACAAAACATCTGTGAGTATTTAAAAAGTATGATTATATGATAAAATATAATTTGCTACCAAGCAGCGTTAAAATAGTTCATCTCCCCACGTGTTCAAACTTTCTAGTTTACTCTTAGATGGACGCCATTTTTATCTGTTTCACTATAGGAGTGACCAATCTACAGTATGAAACAATCTAATGAGAAATGATTGAAATACACTTTAGGAATGGCATGTTGTTGATGATAAGAGACCAGTGTCGTTTGGGAACCAAAGATTGTACATTCAGAAATGCAATGAATGCAATAAAGATGCTCACGACAATGCCGATGGAAACCCTTATTGCACTCATTCAGTTCGTAATGAAGTCAAACTTTCCAGGGAGAGACCTGGATTCGAGGTAATCATTTTGTAATGCTACTTTTCCATTTCAATATTTAGATTTTAAACGCAAATACAAGCATCCATTCATCTAATAATAATTACTTTTAAAAGAGAATGCATTTGTACATCAAACTTTATCATTTCACAGATCCTCATCGAATACGGTGGTAAGAGGCATTATCTTGGAATAGGACTAACGTCCAAACAATATGGAAATTACTTCCCAGGAAGAAAAAGAAACAGCGTTGGATATCACGCTCATACCGGTGCAATCCTTGCCGAGAAAGATCTTAGTGACGAGGAAAGTCCTGACGGTTAGTAATGTAGTAAAACTAGAAAAAAACTTGCAGAACTAATTTAGCGAAGGAACCTTGTCACTTCTTTGATCAGCTTTCTCAGAAATCAGCGATGACGACATAAATCTATTACTATAATTAATAARTTAACAAATTAATAAATTAAAACTTTTTTGTAATAAATTATCATAAATGACTATGACGAGGAAATAAAGCAAAACAAGGAAGTAAGACTCAGCGTAATGGATACGTTCTAGTCATTTTGACATATACTAGAAGAAGCCCGGAAACCGGATGAATAATTAATGTATTAGTCTTTGTGTGTGTGTAGAATTCCAACATGATTGTGGCTAATAATCACGTGACTTTGTTGACTTAGAAACCATTCAAGGAATCAACCCTTTCCCTGACACTGGTTCYATGATAGGCTGCASAGTGTTGTTTGACGAACCGGCAACGGAYGATGGKTATTTAACAGTAGARTTCACCCGTAACAGACGACTGCTYGGAAAAGCTCTCGCAAAACCTGAAAACCTCCATCCATTTGTAGCAATGGGTCATCCAGGGATCAAATTGTTATTCAGGGTATTAYATTTAGAGCCACAATAAGTTTGCATAGCTTTGACCAGCAGTTAATAGCACTACTTTAAGAAAGGCCGGATTTTCAGACAAAGTAATATTGACCAGCCTTGACAAGCATGTGCGATAAGACAAGTATTCTAAAATCTGATGATCTGTGACCTGCTGCACGTTTGTTTAAATATTTGATTTTAGTCGCTGATTAAAAGAACGATATTCAGAAGTGTGTTGTATAAATTGTAAACTAGACTATGGCCATTTGAATTGAGTGGTTAATATTCATTGTTTATAAACATTTAGTTTGTAAAAGACGCATCTCCGAAKGAAAAAGATGAATTGTCAAACCAGAAAGCTATCCATCGTTTGAACGAGGAAATGGGGGCACTTAAAGAAATCTGTCRGCATCTTCAGCGWCAAAAYGAGGAAATGAAAGAGTAAGTGAAAAATCCAACACTTAAATACATTATATTCAGCACTATACTTGTTCAACACTTATAATTTATTTCCCTCAGTAAAGTAAAATAAWCTCAGTAGAGTTTCAATATCAAGTAAACAGACGTCAGGTTATTAAGCGAAAAAGTATTTCAACAGTTCATGTATTGAATATTCTAGTTTATTTCTAGATTGCTTCTGCAAAACTATCGTAGTATGGATGGGAARCGTTGAAAAGAGATTGAATTGGTTTACAAAGACGTCGATCATATATGCATGGAGTGTATATATGTACATGTAGAGGAAGASAGATAAAACAATCAGACCATATGTACATATGGGTGTACGATGTGTCCAAGTCAAATAATCTCAAATGGCCTCCCACTTACTATCAATGATGATCATTAACAATTATACCAAGAGGTCGAGTGGACCATAAACTTGTAGCTCACGAGACCGATAGTATCCACAAGAACACAAAGAGCAAATTTCTCATTTGTTCGACCATTTCAGTTCATTCAATGTGGCCATGGTATAGCATGAATATACCATAGTTCAGTACATAATCCGATGCTAAATTTGTAATAGCCCATAGTTTGGTGGATACTGATAACATTTATTCGCACTATGCATGTAGTGATACTAGTATGCGTACACCTCATTCTTCAAACCAAGAAGGTTATCATAAAACAAGCAACCCCCTCCCTCCCCCCCCCCCAAAAAAAAAAGCGAAGAGAAGAAAAAGATACAAAGGACTAGTTCAACTCATCAGTGGAGTGATTCTTAATTGTTTAAGAACTCTTTCAGTTTTCGACTTGATTTTTCAACCTTCTATTTTCATATGAGTTTTGTAAAATTAGGTGTACAAATACCTTTTAATGWTCTTGCTGACAAGGCTCTAGCCTTTTTAATGATGGCATTTTAAGAACGGTCCATGATCATGATCCATGATCCCACCTCCTGAATCCCGTCATTGATGTGTAAATGAAATAATGACGTATGAATCATTCAGAGACGCAGGGAGAGAGGGGGTTGGCCAGCCCCCTCCCCCATAAATAGTAATGTAAAAATTTAAATCATTTTTGAAACTTAAAATTTGTACCATTCGTAATCTTATTATGTTAAATTAARTATCTAAAATCAACTGCTTCAGAATTAACGCAGTCATAGTTCTTTGCACAAAAGTTAAACTATACATTGAATCTAAATTATAATTGACCCCTCCTCCCACTGAATAAAAACGCCGCGTCGATGTCCCTGTCAGGCAGAATCATTCCTCAGTGTATGGCAACGGATAGGATAAAGACATGTTTGAAATGTCACCTGGTAATTAAAACATTCTCATCATAAGTTTATTAACAATTCAGAGAAATGAATAAAAAGCATCAACAAACTCGCCACGGAGAATGTATGCAAGGTTTCATCTCATAGATTTGTCTCTTTGGGATTCTTTTCATGACTCTTTTCCTGGCTGTCACGACCTTTCTTTTGACTCATTCTTGAAACCGACGTGGGACCACTTCCCGAACCTTTCACGACGTGCTTTTTCTGTTTTCCGAGTAGTTTCCGAAGAGCTTTCCTGAAGTCCGGTTTAACTAGTGAGTAAACAAAAGGGTTGCCAAGCGACCCCAGTGCTAATGTGATGGGAGATAACTCGGTGATCTCTCTCGGTACTGAACGCGCATGACCGAATAAAAAAGCCGAGGTRTAGTAAATGACAGGAAACCAGCCGAGAAAAAACATCACAGTCACCAAAGCAAAGACACAAGCTACTTTGAACTCACTTTCTGTACGCTTCAAAGACTTGAATTGAGTGTTGATCACGTGAGTGTTGCTATGACAGCGTGCCACTTTATTGCACTTCCTTGCGTGATGATATATACGATAGTATATGATAGCTATCACAATGAACGGAAGACCGATAAACAAAATCTGCACAGCCATCACGTAGATCTGATGTCCTCGAGAATGTCTCTGATCCTTCCACAATATCGGAAGTACTGCAACTGTAGCTGATACCAGCCACACACTGACTAACAAATAACGATATTTCTTTTGCATAATGCCCAGATAACGAAATGGCTGCGTGACAGCTACGTAGCGATCATATGTCACAGCGCAAAGATTGGCAACACCGCTGAGCATTACGATCGCATATGCAATGTTGATGACAATACGATTGTTGAAGCCGATGAGATATTGAGTTAATATGACTATACCAGTCAGAATGTCGGACAAGGCAAGGGATACTACCAAACCATTAGTGAACGTCCTCATTACCTGGTACTTTATGACCAATACACACACTAAGCAATTGACAATGATGGCCCCAGGCCACAGTATAGCAATACACACCAAGGTTAACAATGTTACCATGACAACTGATGTACTCGTTGTTTGTGGTACAGCACTTGTAACATCTCACTCTAAAATAAGAAAATCAGTATCATTTCTAATGCAACAACGAGAAAGAGGAAACCTATGAGGAAGATATGAAGAAAATTAAGGCATTGCAAGAGATAGACGGATAAATAATAATCTATTAAAAGATAAGATATGCTCGGAACCCGAAGGGTAAATAAGCTTGTATATTTATAAAATAATATTAGTAATAATTTGGAAAAATGCATATATATAGCTAAAATCGATCGTATTTTGTACCTCGAAATGATCGATACTTCAAGTGATTTAGATTCATTGGACATTTCCGAGGGAGATTCGGATTATAACTTTCTTCCTGGACACTTTTTTCCCCGATTGAATGCGAAACTGTCGTGTTCGAAAGTGATATCGACGCGGATGGAAAYATTCGTGCTGTTGAGCCATTCTCAGCCGAACCTTTAACCCGTGAAAACTCCGAGAACAAAAGAAACAAAAACTAGAGAGATTAATTAAAGGATCGACTAGTGGGTAAAGAAGCAATTAGTAATTGGTGATTAACCATGATCGCCTTTGTTTTACGGCTTAGACTAATCCTCCTTCATCCCCCTTGTTGAATGTCTAAATTCACAACAAAGTCATCAAAGTAAAGTAGGCTTAATTGATGTTTAGATATTGCTATTGAAATTTTCTAGAGTCCTCGTAGGTGCAAATGTGGCAATTGCAATGTAAAGTGTTTACAAAACGCGTACAAATTCTGTTGTTGTCTTGACATGTAAGGATGCGTCAAAGCGTTACAAGACAATTGGTTTATTCAAAAGCTTGAAAAACATCCACAATGTATCATTAAACATTTTTAAATTCTTCCAAAACTGAGAGTAAAAAATAAAATGCGTTATAAGGAGTCTTAAAAGACTCCCGGGTATTTGTCTTCGAATCTTAAAAACCCAGATGTTTTTTATTTGAATAAAAGAATTCTGAAAACAAAAATTTCTGAGCTCATGTGGACTACATTACAACTTGAATACTTTGCAATTCTCTTGAATTCATTGTTGACGTCTTGTGTTTCAGAAAGGAATATTTTAGTGGTTTAAATAAACCCACCAAGCAAAGTGTAATAGTCAAAGTGTAATAGATTGTGATACACTGAAAAAGACAAAAAAATAGAGGAAACGTTTAAAATAGAGAGTAACAAAGTGTAGTACGTTAAATTATGTATTTCACGGGTTTTTAGAGGTTTTCCTAAACCTAGGAAACAAAGTGTAATCGTCAAAGCGTAATAAATTGTGATACACCGAATGGACAAAGAAAAACGTGCAGAATAAAGAAATAAAAGTGTTCACTCTACCCATGTCTACCTGATTGATCTTCACTCAGCATGAGCTACCACTTGCCTTTGAAAAGCCACGAAATCATGCAAAAAGAAATTAGAACAGAGTTCTAATTTCTACAAAAGCTACAAAAGCTAATTGTGAGACCATGACAGCCAATGGTTGGTGCAGCCGATCAGAAACGATCTTTTTTTTTTCAAATGAAAAACAATGGACGATAACTAGTGACGTCTACTAAAATACTTTTAAAAAATATGATGGATTTACGATAAGTGACCAAGTGGCATATGTATGGTGGTGGAATATTCGAAACGGGCATAGCTTTAAAGGAAAGTGTTGTGAAGATAGCCCTGGACGTTCAAATTATCAATTGCAGAGGCACGAGCATCACGCTTGAACTGATTGAAATATTTTGTTAAGGCAGGCTTGACTAATATGACAGATATTGTGTCATACTTGATACGTGTTTAGGCAATATGTTTTGTTTACCAGGAATAATAACACATCAGATTGACAAGCCGCGGCCGGCCAATTCCAGTTATTACGATGCGAACGTGTTAATGAAATTTATATTAGTTTTCTAAAAGATGTCAAATCTTTGACATGTGCTCTCTTTGCACGTGTCGTGCGATACTTTGAATGTTCAAAATGAAAGTAAGTAATTCTAATTCCAGGGACCGCGGAGCGTGAATTTGTTTGGGGGGGGCTAGCGGCGACGAGGTACTAGGGGGCTCAGAAATTTTTGAAATCTTAACTATTGGGCTCCTTCTCTCGGAAATGTCATGCGTTATCCAAGACATTTTTACCGCACACGCGGTCAGCGATATTATCAATAAAATCCCAAAGAATTCGTAAAAATTAAGAGCTTCAATTTTAATTGTTCACGCTCAGTTTTAACACAATCTTTAYTTTAGAAAATTCAAAATGTCGGTCAAAATTATTGGGGGCTCTGTAGCCCCCCAGCCCCCCTGCTCCGCGGTCCATGAATTCTAGTAATTGTAATTGTTTACAGGCCAAGTATGTGTAATACCTAGACAGGTGCCTCGCTATCAGTTTCACTGAAACTTTGCTGAAACTGCCGACTGGACTAAGAGGGTTGTTGATTCTTTACTAAAGAGGTAGAGAATGACTTAACAGGATACTTTAATACGATTCTGAATAATACATCACATGCAAAACGCATCATTTTGTCTTATAAAATTTCACTGCTTCAGTTAAATTAAAAAAATAGTAATTATTGCAAAGATAAGAACGAGAATACTAAGATCTATTCATCTATTTTCATATCGACAATAGCCAATGTCTAGTGATGATGAAAGAGGAAAAGTAAAAAAAGAGTTAAAAAAACTGAACAACTGTGCGGCTTGAGAACTGAGAATATTTACAATATAGTTAGTCTCAAGCGTTATTGCACTTTTATTATTTTCACTAACGATAAAAACACACTGTAAAAACGATGATACTACATGCATCTGCCACGGGAATAACGACTACATTCAATTCAGGTTTWTGCTCCACATAATCCGCTCTTCTTAACCGACTAAACCTCTTACCTTGAATTTCTAGTGAGTTTTCTTTTGACGAAAGCTTTGCGACTGCTCTTTTTTACAACCATGCAGGGCAAAATCTCTTTTGCACAGCGTTCGTTGTTTGTGCAAGTGTCTACACCTGCCAGGTTTCTAGACTCATCGATGCCTACAGCTCTAATACGAATGATAGATTAATATTTCACTTGACACTTTCCTGTATTGTTTGCGATTACACTCCTTGTACAGATTGATTGAAACTGATATTTTTCTTGGCAATATGATATCGCAAATGAAAGTAAAATTAATTGGCGTCTAAACTAGATGCAGTTATAAAAATATACCCTAATAGTGCAGTCACCAGTTCGTTGCTTTTGAATTGAAGACCACTTGTCAAGAAAGAAAATTGATATTTATAGTATTTCATGTTTTTTTAAAGGAAATTTCATAGTTGTGCTTTAATTCGTTCGTTATTAGTGTTTGCAAGCCGTACAACACACGTTTTCGGTTTCTTTTGTGGTTTTGTTAATCTTTTGATTGACTTATACGCAAAAACGTTTTCGTTTGATCATTAGTTTTCTAATCTACTGATATAATATGTTGGTAATTGTATCTGACTTTATTATTAACACCATATATTTCTATGATGGACGCAAGCAGAAAGTGAAAGTTTACGTCAATTATGTGGATTTCCGTTTTCCACATCGTTTTCTTGTTATTTTTTCATTTTGATTSCTTTTGAGAACTTTTTCTCTTCCAYTGAATTTATTTTCATTGCTTTCAGACAATGTTATTGATTTGCCTTGAGACTATCAATCAGTATCTTCTTACATCAAAGTTTGGTTTGATTTTCAAAGGTGTGTTTGACTTTTGGATCAATTTCTTTCTATTCTTAGCCGTGACGGTTCAAAATTGTGTACACTGTAGCACTGCTGGATAAAGTGTAACCTGAAAAATGAGGGAAGTCTACTRATATGTTTCCATGAACTATTATATACACTGAAGATATTGTCGAAATATCGGTGAACTGAAACTTTTAAAAATATGAGATGTACATTTGTTTAATCTTAACAAATATCGTATTTTTGAAAGTTTTTTTTATCTCTGTTGCTACTGCGAAACAACGGTGAATTATGGAATAGTGTATTCGGAATAAAAAATTCAGAGGTTTCTTTGGTCGGTTTATCTTTTTGGTGAAATTACTCATGAAAAAGTAACATCGACGTAACTAGGAAGCGCAAGTTATTTACCCTCTCGCCTATGCTTGAGACCAGAGGCTTCAGTGCCGGATCCAGGATTTTTCAAAGGGGGGTTCCACTTTGTTTTCGCATTTTCCTAAAACAAACTTTTTTACTGTGCCTCTCGAACTGTAGCAAATGTAGCGTGAATGTATTTAATAAAGATTCATTGTACGATGTGCTTTCATTTTATTTCATTTATCATTTATTTTATTTTTTTATGCTTGAGGGGGGTTCCTAGGAACCCATGGAACCCCCCTGGATCCGCCACTGGGCTTGGCGTAAAAACAAACCGATTAACGGAAACGTCTCGCCGCTTCTCGGATCGATAGCATAGTAAGAAAAAGAAATCAAAAAACAAGCCTCATGGAACCAGGGCACAAGTTATTCCGCCTTGATATCTGATTGTTCATCGACCAATCTTGAGATCACGTGACCAGAAATGGAAAGCGAAGAATGACATTAATTTCAGTACAATGTTTCGAAAATCATTAAGAATAGGAAATATGGAGGATTAATGATCTCTTCAAGGTATTGTATTATTAAATTACTGTTTTATATTACTGGCAACTCAGTGAAATTAAAACGATGCTGACGTCTAAGTGATGACTCCGCTGAATGTAAAGACAAAAATATCAATTTAATGGTACATTGAAGATGATGTCAAAGTCTATTGAGGTTTCGACTTAGCACTATTTAATACTGTTGAAGTTTTTCATGATCTTAGAGTTCGCACTCTATKAGTGGATGCACCTAGTCCGTGAAACATTTACTAGTAAGTGTTACAGCAGATCATTCTGTTGTTTTTCTATTGYCTGATTAGCATTATAGCAGCAATTAATTGCAATAATCGTTTCACGGATTTAGTGTACCCAAGCAATGCTGGTGTGAATTAAACAATAGAAATCGAAGAAATAAGTTTAACTTAGTAGAGTGAAGTCAATACACATAGTTAAATAGACACAAAAGGAWGCAAACTTCTAAGGTGTATTAGCCCAAGGTTATACTCCGAATTCCACATGTGCCGAATACAATTCACGAATTAAATACATATGAAGTGCGAAGTATAATTGTCGAATTTGCGACGGTAGAAGTGAGGCAATGGTGCTGCACTTCATTTATTCGTCGCATCTCACACGCGACAAATGTCATACTAGTAGTACGAAAAAGTAGTCTGTGTTATCCGCCATATTGGATAACCTAGTGACCTATCGAAAGGGGAATTGGATTATCCATACGACTTTTAAAATTCGACGTCTAAATACCAATGCCGCATCTGATTATTTCTGTTGACAAAACAGGAATAGTATTCGGTACAAAAGAAGTTCGGCGTGTAACACAGGCCTTTGCATAGTATCTAATTATATCAAGGTTTTGACTTCAGTCTGACACTTGAATAGTATAGTCATCATCCAATGGAAATGAATCGGCCCATCCATACCATATGTAGATGAACATCTTACTTGTTTTGAAGTCTATAGGGTAAAAGAAGAAGATATTCTTTAAATTATTGAATAAATATGCTCTAATGTTTGCACAATATCCATGTTGGACTTAAGTATATAATAGAGCGAATGTATGACTGTGCAAAAACACTGCAACAAAGAAATTGGGCTCTGGAATAAACGAATACCGGAAGCCAGAATCAGGCTATYTTACCCATGCGCAGTAGAAACCCGATCTAACGTCTTTATTTGACTGATTTTACTCGAGAAAATTGGCTAAATGAAAGCCTTCGAAATCAGAAAAGGGATTTTTTAGACCTAAGATGGTAAATCTAATATTCTCCGAAGCTATTTTGATATCTATTATGATCACATCATAGCAGAAATTGACGGTTATCGATTATCATGGCAACGCGGTTCATCGCCTCGCTGTCTTCCATTTTATACTTTAATTGATCATATTACTCTCAAATGCCCACTTCACARACTAAAACAAGTGCTTTTAAAGGAAGAATTCAAAGTGAGGTATCGAAATACAGAATAATTTGAGTATTTTTTACTTACAGCGGCAAGTATTTTATTTTATGAGCCAATTAGAGAGCGAGATATTTTCCTGTATTCCAGATCCACTGTTTTTTATCGAGCCTGCGCAGTAAGAGGGATAGGGGGGGATGGGTACGAGATTGACCATGACGGTGATGTATTCTTGCTTGAATCATTATATTTGGATCTCTAACTACTAGCTACCAGGCGAGGTTCCGTGACCGTTACGTGCCGTGTTGTGATCCGAGCCTTTGTGCAGTCATATACGAAATCCGCTCTAATATTGACACACAGTCAACATTTTTTAATAAGTTAGAATTTCAAAGATACTTCGGAAGAGTAACGGATATGTTCGATCGAAGGTTGCCAAAGTACGATGTCCGAGCACTGACGAAGATRGATAAGTATTGGATTAGGGCTTGGTTTTGTTGATCTCTGATAGCGATTTCAGAAGTTCCCCAAAAAAAATTTCACCACAAGTATAAATGCTGTGTGGGAAATAATTATTGATGATTAAAAAAAAACTTACCTGATCATTTCTWCTCTTAGTTGTCGAACTTCCTCTCTGATTTGTTTCACTTCTTTGCGAAATTCGCTGAGGGARATTTGCATGGTGTCTTTAAGCTCATTGGCAGGATTTTTATGATCTGATCTAAAAAACTTCAAAAGGTAATACGGTCATTTATGATAGCTGTAGCAGCCCAATTGAGCATGCGTGSACCTGCATACAGCGCCCAAAGACTGGTCAACCCATAATGCAGTGCACTCTTTATATCAAAACTGGTTCTAGTAAGAAAATTTTCGAAAGAAGGGACGGAGAACAAACGGTCCTGGGCCAAAATTATAGGTTCATTTTATCTTTTATTGGATGTTTAATGGAGAATTCTTTGTTATCTTAATTACGTAGAACTAGAACTTTTGAAGTCTTCAATCAGCCTAGTGTGTTTTTTTTTTTTTCGTGGGTGTACGTGTATTGAACTCAATACTCATTCTTGTGATATTATGCATACATACCCTAAAAACCATTTTAATCCCAGGATAGGCCATTGCTACAAAAGGATGGAGACTTTCGCGTTTCGTGTGCGTAGTTCCAATAATTTGACCATTAAGAGTGAATTGTACCGRTASATAGCCATCATCTCTTTCTTTATCAAACAGCACTCGACAACCAATCAAGTCTCCGGTAAAAGCCAAGGCATCTAAGCATACAGAAAACAATTTCCCGAACTACAATTTTAGTCAGGTTTACGTCGTATTGTTAAAGAAACTTGCATGGCTTTTAATAATTCATTTCAAGAATTGGAAAATTCCCCATATATTTCACGTGATATGTACCGTTCATTAGCATAAAGGTATACATTAATACATTATTGAGTGCTCAAAAAATAGAAGAAACCTTAAAGAATCATAACCACCCACCRTACCTTGCGAACCGAAGCGCCATTTTAGGTGGACACGAAAATGGCGGATTTGTAGTTAAAGTGAGCGCAAATCGTCTTCCGTCCTTTCAGTTTGGACAGAAATACCTTTAACTAAGTACCTCCTCACAGGTACTATCAATCTATAATTTATTGCATGCTTGACGCATTTAAACGTATGTAAACAATAATACGAGCGCGCAAGGTACGACGGGTGGTTATGATTCTTTAATAAAGAGAGGGTTAAGTGAGACCTTGACAATGCTCACGATACTTTTTCTCGCTAAAGTAAAAATCTATAGCAGCAAGGCATCACTCAACCCTCTATTTATGTATGAATGCTATGCTGCTAAAGCACAACCTCAGGCATAGAACATCGACATAGGAATTTGAAACTGAATATATAGCTAAATATAAGTATAGAAACTCATTTACTCATGAACTTGAAGCTAAAGGTGCATTTACTCTCGGCACACGTAGATGCGCGTAATCATTTGTTCCAGTATGCGGCATTTCCTCGCCGTCTTGCCTAAATACAAAACACGCTTGCTCAGTCCTCTGAACGCAACGTCCAATTCAGCATAGATCTAGACCATCACATCTTTGAGCTAGATTTACTTTCGATTTATTTTAAATTTTGATATTGTACTTAGSTTTCAAACCATGTTTAAGATCATCTTTACTGCGAACTCTAATTACGTCAAAACTAATCGCATGATSACTTTTTTTCTGTATCAAAGCTTCGTTCTTTTGCACTTATGTATAAATAACATCTTTTTTGTCGTACATGAGCGCATCATTTTTAATTTTGAAGAGTTTTTGTTTGTTCGAAGCTTTTACGCCAATTAGAAGTTCGCGTAAACGATCTAAATCTCTCATGACGAATACTAACCATCGCCCTCCGTTCCAAATTCTCTATCGTGGTTATCAAAGATCGTTCCCATGTGAGCTTGATAACCGACGCTGTGCTCTTGGGATCCTGGGAAACAATCAAGCTTGTAGTCCTCACTTGTAAGACCAATTCCAAAGTACCGCTTCTTGCCACATTGCTGGATTAAAACCTTTTAAACGCAAAGAAATGATACTTTCAGTAATATAAAAGTAGCGTAGAAACACAAAGAAATGATACTTTCAGTAATATAAAAGTAGCGTAGAAACGCCTATTCTGAAATAGATGAGTTCATGAGGCTGATGGTGCTGAAACTAAAATTCTCTTGGTGCTGCCTCAAACCCCAAACGAATTATCTTAACTCAAGATGTGTCAACATCCAATCCCTAACCCCTGCCTATGGCAACGAACCCCATTAGCCGAAAGTACCTCTGGTTGACATAAATGTTTGAGCATTCCTTCTAGACTTAGACTTGTACGATAACGTACCGATAGTATGTAATCAGTGATATCTTGTCGAACAARCAACTTTTTCAAACTTTCGAAAGACTATAAAAGTATTCCACACTGGTTGGTATTGCTTTAATTTGAGATTTCAACCTTCGTAACTCAGATATTGTATAACGAGCATGATGAATATTTTTTACCTCGAATCCAGGTTTGTATTTGGAAAGGCTGTTCTTATGCAAAGCACCATGGATGCATTCATATCTTCTGTCGCAATCTGTACATCTCAGGTAAATCAATCGCCCATCATCGATGTTAAGCTGAGTCTCTTGAAATACCCATTCCTAATATTAAAAARAGATGTGACTTTGAAGCTAATATTCTTCTATTGAAATTATGTCATAGCAGGCATCTTGGTTGAACTGTATAGGCTGATCGATTTACACGGTGCGATTTGTCGCGCGCGACTTGTAGTATACGATTTTCCTACTACAAGTCGTAGGATTTTAAGCAGTGGTTCAAAATCCTACTACAAGTCGTAGGTTGTGTACGACTGTTGTAGGCAAGTCGTAGGGGCATTTACACTGCGCGATTCAAGTCGTATACTACAAATCGCACGAGACAATCGTGCCGTGTAAATCAGCCTTAACAAAGGATTTCTCATTAATATCTTTTGTTTGTTCAACCAATTCAACATGGCCGCCGGACTTTTGGAAATTTGCTTCATTCACTTTGTTACTCACCGAAGTGCTGCTTGAATTCATCTCCTTATTAAAAGACTCTCCGGCGATATTTTGCAAAAGACGCTGAGTATTCTTCATCAGTCTCTTTGTTTTGTTTCCTATAGAAAAGATAAAATAATGATAAGAAGCAAACCGTATGCATGTATGTCCGTCTTTTAATTTATCTGTAATTTAGCATTTTTATTTTCTAAAAAATGTGAACATACCATTTGAGCTGAGAAAACAGTCGTCATTATCAACTATTTTTCTCTGAAATGTTAAATGATTAACGTACAAACGAACCTTGTAGTATAAAGGTATTTCCATATTTGGCCAAATACTCTGCTTTACGATTCTTGCAGAAGTCTTCCAGACACTGGAGACGTTTAAAAAAATACTGCATTAGTACACAATGGGACCTCAAGTCATTCTATGAAGTCAGGAGATCATACAGGCTGCTATGGTGGAAGGAGGAAGAGAAGGAATGAAAGGAGTGTGTGCAAGATAAGAGGACGAATGACTAAGAGTTTTGCCTTGTGCTTTCCACGWAGATTAGAAACTTGAAAATAAGTTTGAGAGTCATTTGTTAACATTTAGTGTATGGATTTCTAGCTTGAAATTACGAAGTTTGATCACAGTTAAAACAATAAACACTAAATTTGAATCAAGGTCCTGTCGCCAGGTCCAAAGGGTGGGTCGACTGCGCTCTTGTACAAGCCTCATCTTCGAACACGTGACCGAACAAAATGATTTACATGAGATCTACATGGATTGGAGGTCAGAGGAAAAAATCAAGAAAAGATGCAAACATGAAGATTATATAGGAACAAGAACAGTGAAAAAATAAGCCGTACAACAAGAAGAAAACTGGAGAAAAATCATGACTTAAGGATAAGTAAAATCAAGAGGAAATGTACGACAAAAAGGAAGAAAAATAAAGAAACAATAGAAGATTTGCTAGGAAAAATAACGTCAAGACAAGAAAGATTTGAACTCTACAGATCTAGACAAAATGCTAGAAAACGTCTGAGTCAATAGGGAGGAAGACGTAAAAAAGGCAGAGGAGTTTCAAGTCGACGCAAAAATATGCATGGGTCGAGACAGAAGAAGAYAAAACAATATCAGGAAAGAGAGGAGAAGATAGAGGATTGGAATGAGGGAGGGAGGGGGGTAGTTAGAGAAGAAACAGGAGAAGAGATGTAGTTTTAAAAGGGTGACAAAAGAAAGAAAGGCGTAGACGCAGAAAAAGAGTCAAGAGGAGGTAGAAGAAGGGGCAGAGGAGGTATGGAGAAAGGAGGAGAAAGTAAGATGGAAGAGGAGAGTCAGATAAGGAGGTTGGAGGAGAGGAAGTTTCACAGGCAGGGGAAAGRAAGGAGAAATGGTGAGGAATTAAGGAAAAGGAAGAGACATATGTTGTGTCAACTCTGGATTAGTTGCACAACACTGCAGACAATAACAATAAAAAYATGTTTTCTTCKATCTACCTTTTTCCATTTTTTGCTGCTCTTTGTTCTAAATAATGCCTTAGAGCATTTTTTGTGCCAGGTGCARCTCATTTTCAGAATCAAGTAAAAAATAACCTTGGATGATAGAGTTATGATGTTGAAAGGGACTGGTACTGGGTGATAATTACAGTAAGTCTTGATTATACTKGCTTTGCGGTAACACCACTCAAAGTATGCGTTGTCCTATGACCAAATGATGTCGGTAATCATAAATGTATGTTTACGTCAACTAGATACAATCAACTATGGTTGGATTACTTATTTCTGTTAGCTTGTGGGTCGATGACACAGAATTCTTAAGTTGAACCTTTTTAAGTCGTATCATGATATCATTAATGTAATAATTCTCTTAAAAAACATTTTGACTTTCCCAATGTTGTTTTGTCATTTAGTTTTGCTGTGCGGAAAGTACACAGAAAGACCATTTCAAAGTAAAAGTGCTTACCTCAACGTGTTGATAAGTGTTCGATAACAAGGCGATCAGCATGTTCATGATCATTACTGCAGCAACGATTAAAAACAACATGTAAAGCACTTTACTGAAGTAGTTTGATGAGCGGGTATGAAGTGTTAGGAGGTCTGGTTCAACGTTTCCAACAATGGACCAAGCCAGGAACTCAAAAAAATGCCACCAGCTAAAAAATCAGTATTTAATATTATTATTACTTTTATGTGTTGACAGAAACATTCCAAATACGTTTTTCTCCCGTCGGCAAAGCGAGCAACCGCTGATTTGACAACAGTCTCTTATGATCTTACCAAAAACAAAAGAAAACACGAAAAAAATGTTGTCATTASAGTAGCTTTTTCTTTTGCTTTTTCTGCGATTTGAGGCTAAGACTAGTTGTATTAGCCTCAAATAAAAGAAGATCCAAATTTCTAGAGCTATTGTAATGTTAACTTTTTTTCGTGGTTACTTTTGCTCTTTACGCATCTGAGTCTATTGTGTACTAGAGGAGCGATCCCTCGCATTGTACGGAAAAGAGGCTTATTAAGCAACAAGCTAAGTAAAGTCTAAATAAATTTAAGCTCATCTTACCACTCAATCCCACCAGCCTTTATATGACATATCCTAGGAAATAAATAAATGATAATTAGTATAATACGTGCACTGTGCTTGCCTGAAATCATTACGGGATCAGAGTACTGTTACCTCATTATACATCATGAAAAATCGTGCAATAAACTAAAACAAAATTCTCTTTTATCAATTACAGGATCGATGGTAAAGTGATTGAGCATAGACATGTTGTTGTCTTTTGTTCGCGTTTCTATTGTTCCGTGCTTTTTTCTGAGCTACAAGCATTTATATTTAGCTATTGCCCACATTTTCCTTTTAAAGATACGCTATTGTGAAGTGATTTCATTTAATTCTCTTTTAATGGATTCTCCTCCATGCGCCATCTTGGTATTTTCATCATTACCATGATGCACTTCGTCAAAACACTCATGACGTCATTGGTCTAGATGACCATAAGGTGGCATTTAGTTCGGCATGCTCATTATCCAATTGTCAGTTAGTAGAAAATTATTAAAAAGCTACGTCTCTAATAATTTCATAATAATAATAATATAATTTCATGCATACCCGTGAGTATTATTATGAGATTTAGCATGACTTATCTCAGCAACGTAGATTTTTGTCAAAATCAAAGAAAACGCCAAAATAGCCGCGACCACTTGGACAAAGATCACCAATACGGCACTGATTATGCGCAGTAAAGCAATCTGTTTGATGCCTGTTGACTGCCTGACTTCCATCGTTTGCCCGAACACCCTTAACGTAAGGAGAACAGCATTGAAGCCATACAGATAAGAAGCGGCGATGATCAACTCGTTTTCACTGTTCAAAGCCCATGCGACGATGCGTAGAACCAGTACAGTGAGGTACACCAGTATTGTGCTAATGTCGAGTTTGTTCCAAAAATCGCTACAATAAAATGTGTCGTTAGCTACTTATGAAATAGTTGCGTAAAAATAGGTGAAATAACTTACTGAATATTTTTTTACGGTGTAATTAGATCCGGCAATTGTGTTTCTTTAGATAGAGACACCGACGTAGCTCACACTAGTTTGCCGCTAGTTTCTACTTCTTATAAGAAGGAAATATTCACATAAACATATCCATAGCGAACCCATTCGATGATTGAACTGACAAAATCGCTTCACAATATGTGATGCAAACCGTGCCAACTTACTCTGTATAATTAGACGTTAATCGTGTTATGTCAAGTCGTTCCTTTTCATCTCTTTCCCATAGAAATTGATCAATTTCAATCATAATACGACCAATGAAGAACACCATGATGATCCATTCTAGAATACTTAATCGTAGACGTGAAGGCTGTATGCACACAGCGATATGGAGGAATAGTAACACTAAAAAGCTCAGGGTGTCTCGTAGGAAGATGAAGTAAGGGATCTCAAAGTGTTTTCTGTAGACTTCTATATTAATAAAAGTTGCAAAAATAAATGAATGAGTGAAATGTTCATCGTTAAAGAAAAAAGTATTAAAAAGGGCTGCTTGATCATCTCTCTCGCGATTCAGAACACGGCTGTAATATTGTCACGTGTCTTTCATATCGAAATATGCCATATTCCTAGCAATGTAGTTAGTCTTTCTGGCACAGAAAACTGAGCATTTTTTTGTATTTTGGTTACAGACTAGCAATCTACAGGAGCCTGCCCGATTGATTTTCCATGAAGCATATGTCATCATTGAAATAATTGGCTCCTTTAAATCGAGCGACAATCGCCGGGAGCTGTAAGATATGTTTTGAGGTCTGGTAATTTTGAGAGGCGAAGTAAATTGAGCAATTTAGAGAGATTGTGATGAAAGATTCGACTTACCATAGTAGTCTTCGGAAGGAGGTTCARTAGGGCAAAGCATGGAAAGAAATTGATAATCGTATTTTAATAAAAAGTATTAATTAATTACTTTAAAGTATTGATTCTTAATTAGCAGTTTTGAAGCCTCTTTCTCTGCATGTTCATAATTGTATTTAAAAAATAATAAAAAAAATAATTAATATAACCATTATCAATGTTAAAATTATTTTGATAATATCAAAACTTCTTGAAAGCCCTGTCGATATAATAATGTCATGGGTGCAATTGTTATCCAGCTTTTCCAGTTGCCTCGTCTGAATGTTTGTCTGTTGTGTCTGTGGTACTGATATAGATCAATATTGTGTATTGTGTATTGTGGTACTGATATTGATCAATATTGTGTCTTACCTATCTTGAAACTGTCTGACCAAACTGCAATAATGAATAGATATAATATGGAGATATCCGCTATTGATACAACGTATAAATATAGCTGTAGTGTAATAAATACTGAATGAATGGTCCAAGTATCGCAGTATCTAATATATTTGCGTTTCATATTGCAGTAGAAATACCATGAGAAATATAATTAAACTGAGAAGCCTGCCTTGAACTCACCTCTGCTCCTTTTTCTATGGCGTCTTCTTGAGAAGATGTGATGAACAAAAAGAAGCAAGAAGACGATTGGAAACAATACCACTTCAAAGATTCCCCAGACATTGCTCATGATCCATTGGACCGAAACATCTTTTGACTTATAGAACCTGGTTGTCCACAACTTCCTGAGAAAATTCTGGGACATCGAACCTGATAGAAACTGAAATAAAATCGTTAGTAGAAAAAGAAAGTGGTGCGAAAATGCTAGAAGTACAAACACTTTTCAAGGGATGCTGTAAACACCATTTCCAARCTACATTACATATTATCAGAGAGGTCAACTTGTGCCCAAAAAGCCATGGTATTTTACTTAATTCTTTTAAGTTATTGCCAGTACTGAAAAGCAGGAAAAAGCAACGAGCGTTTGTGTTGTGACACTATTGCCAATAATATCAGTAAAAGCGTGCATGAGAACATGATATGGTTGGCATGGAAGGGATAATAAAGCTATGACAAAATTCAACAAAATTCCTTTGCAAAGTTTGCACGATATATCCACTTACCTTTTTGCATCTGTAATGAATCGCTAAGCACGTGATKCGATTGATACATTCATTAAACTCTGGTTTTGATGTTATTTCATCGTGTCTTGAGTTCTTTAAAAGATGGAAAGCAAAGTCTTCAACGGAATCGCCGAGAGCGAACAGCTGATTTTGGTGTGGGCCTTCAGGTGATTGCTTTAGTGAATATGAAACCTGGAAAATAAAAACAATGACGTAAACGAAGTTGGTCGGTTGCACAAAAGCATCTGTGTAGTGCTATCCATCGCGTAAATGCTTATACAGCTGAACATAATAAAAAGGGCGGATCCAGCTGAAATCTTATGGGGTGCCTAAAAGGTTTTAATGGGTGGAATCGGGGGATTAAATGGGCTATATTTCTTATAAACAACCGGCATAGAAAATATAAAAAATCTGTTAAGATTTTCTGCCCGGAAGGTGGATTACAGCACACCTGTGCCCATGTATCCGCCCTTGAATAACGTTTCTGTTAATATACATCTCATAAAGCAATGCAGATAAAACTAGTAACAAATAAAGAGGACAAACCCACCTTTAAAGACATTTCTAAGACGTTAGTCTTGCAATTTCCCAGTCTCCATGGTGTGATAAGTTTCTTTATCTCGTCGATGTCCTCGCTATTTTTTAACGCACGTCTGATTTTCTCCTCTTGTGTGTCGTTCTCATGCGGAAAGAAGCCTACGAAAGACTAAAGTATCGACACAATTTAATCATCGCTAGTTTCGCGTATCTGCAGAGTGCTTCCACCGCCTTTTATTCAAAAAAGAGAAACTTGAAACTTCGCAATGACACGCGAGTACACCGTCACTGGATTGATTTTTTTTATCTTTACAACAATACGTTAAAGACTGATCATGATTAGTGTAGTCTTACTGACAGCCGACTGAATTCAGCTGAAATCATAATACCTCGTTGTCGTCCTTTAATTCTTGTTCATCCTGGTGGTAAATAATTAGATAAAGTTATGAAATTTATGAGGCTATTTGACACAAAGCAATAAAGCGAGAATACTATCGTCATTATATCCTTATCATATACTTCTTTTATATAATATAAACCAACAGTTAGTTTCATTTCTTTACTACGACGAAGAATTAACATCACAAATTTGAGTAAATTACTTCTCGTACTTTTTACCCCGGGGAAGTACTGCCCTATATTTGCTATACGGGTATAAGCTCCAAGAATGGGATAGCGGTATCATTGTCTGGGGTAGGATGGAGTTTTGCCTGTGATCGTATCTGCTCGGCCACGCTTTCCGCGCAAAAATAATGTACCTTTGTACCTTAAGTCTGGGGTAGGGTATGCAAAATCAAAAAAATTGGTCTGGGATAGGGTAAGGGTTTTGAGGTTCATGCGGCACACCCTCACCCAAGTTGAGGAGGTAGTCCCCCCGGGCTTTTTACGGTGTATAATGTATCGTATTTTATCATTTTTATGGACTAAAAACAACTTCTCGTAGACAATGACACGGTACTTCTACTTCGTTACCCTGAGAGAGTAAAAACTAACAATTATTCCATGTTTATCGTTAGTAATCAACTATGGCCATTATTCCATGTTTATCGTTAGTAATCAACTATGGCAGGGCAGGGTGAGCCTTGTTTCACCTTAACGAGAATAGAAGAATTCCTTACCATCTTTGCTGCAGTAGCGATGTACGCAGCCTCGAATGAGATCTTTTCTAGAAAAGAGATAGGAATATATAAGTGACTGAGTGAAAATGCAGTTGAAAGATTTTTAGTAAGTGCAAACCCCGGCTAAGCATCCTCGGGTACCCAGGGATAATCTTCTGTCGTTCGTTCCTTAGTGATGAAGATTATACCCCTGGGTTCCCGAGGATGCCGGCTAAACGAAATAATAATTATAATCCTACAATAAAAACCTGAGACTAATAAGACTGAGAGTGCATTCACACTTAGATTTACATTTTGCCAACATTAACGCTGTAACTTAACATGAATTTCGATCTTGCACACTTTATTAAAAAAGTTTATTTAATTACAATGAAATATACGATATGTAATAAGGATTTGCTAATTTTTTCCGATTTCAATTATACGACTGAATATAATATATACGTAACGATAAGACTTCAAGCCTAAATRGATGGACGGAGTATGAAATACAAAACTTTATGCTATAACAGTATTTAGTAATTTTAAATTTCCGGGTTCGTAATTTTTGGGTGACGCGCACGTCTTCAACTACAGTTTTATTATTAGATCATCAAGTGCGATGATGATATACTAATAGGTTGCATTTTTTAAGCAATCAATCATGCATCGTTTAGCCTCACACTCGTCATTGCCTGCTGCCCGAAAAGAACCGGCCTGGATTTGTTATTGTTTTGTGTTCATTCGATCAAATCAGATTTATGTACATTACAGTTCAAGTCGACTATTAAAAACTTGATCTGTGACGAATTAAAGCGGGTAATTTTGTTTTTAAAGTTTATGCTTTCTAAGGTTTTCAAAATCTCTATGCTGAATAACTCATGCACTACCGTGAATTCTGAACTTTGTGTCAAAAACAATGAAATATTTTCAATCTTGTTGCCTGTGTAGCGTACTCTAAAACTTCCTTGTCAACCACTGRATTTGCATACGCGGGCTCACGCATGCATGAAATACAAATGTTATGGAATGCAAMGCTCTAAAACTACTCGTTTTAGTTCGAAAAATTGCAATTCAAACTTCCGTTCGGACGATAATATATGTAAATAAAGATAGTTAACAAAAACTAAGCGAACTTTTCATTAGTTTGCAACTGCATTGAACATCTGAGCTGGCTTGGATAATCGACAAACATTTGTTACAGTCAGAAATATTGGTATATTTTAAAAGCAAGATATGCAATGTGACAGTTATATTAAATATCTCTCTTTCAGTATTTCCAGGATAATATCCCGTTTTATTGCATGTACGTAGGGGTTATCATTACTTATTAGTTAGGTAAACAATAGGTTGTAGTTACACGATTGTTTTGATTCACCTACAATCAGTATTGGTCCAAAAAATACAACGACAAATTGAGCCATCAATTAAATTTATCAAAATATAGATATTAGACTTATCTCAATTGTTCGACATTTATACCTACCGTATTCCCTCAGATGGCTGATACTGCGATGGTTACAGTGTCAATATATGTACTATYGGTCGTGCGATTCCTAACATTACACATAATTACAGACCATAAAATTACCACAAAAGGCTTTAGAAAGAATAGAGCGAGTCAAAAACCCGTGAAATAGATATAACMCTAATACACCATAGTAGCCTCTAGTTGCATTGTTTTCTTCGTTTCTATGTGACTATCACACTTTAATAGTCAAGATTTGTTTCACAGGTAAAATGACCTCACTCGAGTATTATTATTATTATTATTATTATTAGTAATCTGTCATTTATAATATTTTTAGGGATTACCACAATTTAGCACTAGGATAAGGAAATTCATTAAACCCGTGAAACAAGCTCTAATAATCAAATAGACACAAAAGAAAGTAATAAATTTAAATAACGTTCTATATATTAAATCTATTTCACGGATTTTTTTGACTTCACTCTATTTGGTAGTGTGAAAACAATACATCCATGAAATAAATATAATTTATTGCATATCTAATTTTACATCTGATTATTCAATCTTCCAAGATGAAGGTACGCGATCTGTCAATCATATTCTCCACCCACACAGCACCGATCGAATTTTTGATTGCTCYTCAAGTACAGTAGATTGAAAGACTTATCTATTATTTGTCCAGTTGTTTTCTCTACCTATGGTGAGATGTGTTTCTGTCTGTCGGATGATATCTAGATAACAAYAGTAGTAAATACCTTGACTTTCTTACAGTTATATTATTAGTTGTTATCATTTAAACAACAAATTTCGCTGCGTACGTACAACGACTACGTAACGCGGAAGTGTAAGCCGCGGTAAGTGCATATAGCCGTGGGCTTTTCGGYCCGCTTGATAAAATTTGGTTGTTGAATACTAAAAATAGCATTTTGCTTTGATAGTTGCCATTAAAAACTGCGTTCTCGGGCGACAATTTGTTTTAGGAACATCCGGTTTCCAAGGATAACTGGTAACTGTCACCTCGATCCAACTACTCTAATATTTAAATAGTACTTGTTGTGACCCAGTCTCTCGCGATGCAATGAGCCGATGACGTYATTATACCAAGGAAGGAAATAAGTTATCTTGACAAAAGACTTTCTGAAAGACATCAGCTGGTTTAATAACTTGAGTGCTGCCTATTAGTACCTACAGAATACAATAAGGATATGACATTAATCAAACAGCGAATATCACAAACTGACAGATACGTTTATATAGTATAGCAATAGGCACAGTTTGCCGTCCTCCCTCTCGRTRTTTGTTTCGATGACAAGCACCTTTTTGACCAATTAGGTGTATATAATATGTTGGTTTACCTGTGTATTTGTACGATAAGTTGCMAGTGCATCTCGTATTTGYTTTATTTCYGTGCTACTGATTCCTCCAATCACAAAGACAACAAGTAAAGGCAAATCACTTGGTCTTGGTTTACTCACATTCATGAATAAACTGCAAAACGAGAAAGTCACTTCAATGGTCGCGGTAACGTTATTATATTACGAGTAGAATACTGAAATTAGATAATTAAGACTCTAAAAGGCCCACGTGCATCCGAGATCCCTTGCGAGGCGTTTGATTTGTTCGTTTATATATGATCTATTGTTGAAAGGAGTTTTACGATTGTTTCAAAATCAAAAAAGGCGATTTTTCGTACATGAGAAAATCGCGCAAAGGCGATTTTTCGTACATGAGAAAATCGCGCAAAGGCTCATGGATGCACGTGATCTTTAAAGTAAAGATAAGGATGCTACAGGAGGTAAAGTGGAGAGAGAGAGAGAAAGGACTGGGCTTACCTGAAACCAGTCTTGATGTAGTCTTTAAGTCCATGGGATTTGAACTCGATGTCAACAAGTTCTGGTTTATCTTTATCAAAGATTGCRTCCAAAGCCTTTTGCGGAAAGCATCAAAAGATTACATATCAACTTAGCAGCAAATCACAATAACCGTATATCATGCAAACTTTACCTGCTTTATCAATGGCTGATAGAACGCTTCCTTAAGTGCTGTCGCGTCCTGATATACATTTCTAAACCATAAAAACAAAGTATGAGTAAACAAACAAACAAAAAAGTAATTTGATTATATTATATCAAGAACGTCCGCCATCTTGGATCTGAGCTGACAGAGAATAGCCTGGGAACAAGGATAGCTCAAAACAAAAGCGCTAAATCTATCCTTCTATTTCTTTGGGAGATGAACATGAGATTTTTAAGTGTATAAAGTACTCATTATGTGTCGATTCTTGCCTCTAGTTTAGTTCACTAAATGCCGTTTAATCGAGTTAGTTTGTCATTTCTCCGTTGTGTGCGACCATAATCCTTAGCGTTAAAACAACAACATGACATGTGTCGTCATAGTRAAATAAACCAATCGAATGACGTAATGTGTAAGAGATGATGTAGAGRATCCTTGTTAACTTACTGAAACTGTTTCATTTCGTCTCGAGCCTGCCCGATACCAAGCAGCTTTTCAAACGCATCAGCTACTTTCCTTCTCGCYGTTTTCTCAACAATTTCATCATCTAAAAAAAAAATATTAGCAATTACAAGAAAACGCAATAAACTTCTCACATTACCTCCTAATAAAAGACATTGTTACTAAATCGAGTAGACGGCAGCACATACATAACAAAATAGAGAAAGATGATTAAAGTCAGAAAAATAAAATCAAGCCAACAAAAACTTTAGTTTTTAAAAATAACCTTGTAAGATCGTCTTCAATACTTCATGGCTTCGTGATTTTAAAGGCAAAGCATGTCAACATGACRGAACTGTTTGTAAACTAACTTTGWAATCAATTGTCTTCGCCCTAATGAGAATGCGCATTCCTGTTGTCGGTCAAATATTATGGCGAATCCGCAGAAMGCCACCTATCTCTATGCATTTCTTTTTTCATTCCCCGCTCAGCCTCGYCCCTCACTTCTCCCACTTTGCRGACATTTTTGATCGAGCTGAAACATCCTTGTGCACATATTTYAAGAAAACTCATAAACCCCTGTATCTGTTATATTTTTTATGGCGCTGCAGAATTTAGCTGAATTCATGACATACCGAGAAATTCCTTGTTTCTGCAGGTCAGTTTTCCAGACAAGAGACAATCTACCAYCACATTCTAAAAGGAAATTATCGATTACAAGGTTTATCCTAGTATCCAGTGTTTATRTAYTTATTGACTGAGTAGGCAGTGGGAGGGCCGTACGGGAAAATGACCAAGAGTCAAATATTTTCCCGTACGGCCCGACCTAACTCAGTCAATAAGCATTTTATCATATGACAGCRTTTTTTAATGTAAAAAATAAATAAAAGCGCGCGGAACTTCAAGCCGGGAAAATACGGAATTGTACGGACCTGTCGCAAAAAGGCGTACGGACCCCATCACGTGACCATTTTCCAAAGGTTTCAGTGAGTCGAAATACATTATTTATCATATGATAAAAGAYTTTCTTTAAGAGACACCGCGCACGTGCAATAGCATTGCACAGATCACCATCCAAATGTGGGGCAAAGGGAGGAGAGACGGCGTTGGGAAGAGTACAAGGAGTTAAAATATTGCTAACAAAGCAATCTTTATGATTTTCTTACCTTCAATCGTTCTAGTTCTGCTGGTGATTCCATGAAGATATCACCGACCAAAGAATAAAGATAACATAAAACCAGTAGAATATCCTCAATACAGCTGAACCTGAATCGACAAACCACGCGATTAATCATCGAACAAATAGAAAAAAAGAGAGATTAGATGGGAGAGTGGATGGAGGTTGATCACCAAGCAATCATAAACGATCAGACGATAGATCAAGCATCCAGGGTAATTATGAAAGTGGATTAAATATGCACCTTTTCAACTAACGAGATGAAAAGAATGATTGATTGAATATTAAATGAATGAAAGGAAAAGTGGAAAATAGGAAGGATAGATGGATGGATGACAACTAACTAATCAAACAATCAAATAGTCATGTAAGAGATTATTAATAAATACATAAGCTATCGTAGTGGTAACTATGGTAACTATAGTCTTACTCCTTATTCTTGTCGCTTTCTAAACAGGAAATGAGGTCATTGATGATGCTTTGTGGGTCATCTTCSCCTAAGCTTAAAAATAGACCCTGAAAACAGGAAATGAAAGAAGAATTAGCAGCAATAACTGAAATTGCAGCTGCCCCCGTAGCAAAGGAGCAGACTCAGCCTTAACCTTCAGCACAGACAAAAGAAGAAATGTATTATCTCAGTTTGAATCGAATTCTCTTATATTAGGAACGCATTGATCAATTTCAACGAAAACGAAAGTATTTTTGCATGATAGTTATTTTTGATCTTTTATCCAAGGAGAAGATGAATTTAGACTTTGCTCCCAGTATAATTTACACAGAGATGAAGGCAAAGAAAGAAAGAAATGAACAAAAAACAGTAATTATTATATGCTTTTTTCATGAGTTATTCATTGGTCTGAGGACAAAAGAGTGCAGGACATACATTACATCCACATAACTGACAACTTTGAGCAAACACTGTTCTTTCTTACAAACGGTTTTGACTGGCTTTATACCTTTTCTTTGCCTAGAAGTCTTTGAAAATGGCTGATGTCTTTATGCTGAAGAGCACTTATTGCTGCCATAGTAATTTGTAGCARGGGGCTATTGTTTTGGAATGCTTTTGGTTGACCTCTAATGATTATAAACACATAAACCACAATTTACTTTCTAAAATGTTAAGCATTAAGTATTTTTTGTGTATCAACTGRGATTTCCTTTATTTATTATATTTCTTCTTCTTTATTTTCTTTTTCTTTTAAAATAATAACCATCGTTTAAATTAATGTTACATCAATTATGACAGCCTGCATAGTGACCCTAAAAGGATTKGGGAGCAAGATTTGCATTCACAACACTGCATTCTTCTTTATAAAGCTACAGAAAAATACTTTGGATTAGATTAACAAAGTTAGTCTATCAAGAAAACCCAACCTCTACAATATCAACGTAGTTGGTGCTAGCAGTGATTTGTTTGATTCTAACGTAGTTGAGTTAATTAGTGGACAATAACAAATCACATTGCAGAGGACCAGGAGAGCACATTGGCCGAGGGCTCTGGCAACACAACTCTGGACATAACTAAATGTTTGGTGCTCTCTTGGAGCAAATGAAAACAATGAATAAAAACTACTTAATCTTTCTGTTCTCCTAGGGCCGCTACGCAGGCTACCATTGGGTGGATGTGAAATGGTAGAGGAGGTCTGTGAATGATGGTATACATGTAATAATATCTTAAGGGATCAATTTGCTGACAATAAACTGTCTAGTGTGACCTTTGTAGGGATAGGTGTGAGCAGGGGYCAATGGTAAGCATATAGGGCTGGATGATATGATACCTGAAATGGTCTAATGCTGCTTGTATTGWCTCCAGGGTAACCTTGGTAGGTTGTGATGATATGTCCAGGGATTCTTTGTTTAAAGCATGCGTTAGACTTCTTGACAGGTCTACCAGTCCTTCCTGGCATCAAACAGAGCATGGTAAGAATTATTATGCTTTCAACATATCATGGGTCACTAATAGTTGCAATGCATCCTAGGCTTGATAATTAAGTCAGATATATATTAAGTGATAGGTTATCTTGGATGCAAAATGCAATCTAATATAAATTAAAATGAAATTACAACAGATTTTAATAAGAAAAACAACAACAAATTGAAATAACAAACTTAAAAAATGACAATAATTATACCTTTTGCTTTTTAGTAAACAATGAATTCAATAAAACTTGTGAGACTTTGTCATTGGCATGTGACAAGCATCCAGGAGCTACAGTATCTGGTGTTACACTAAAATCAATACACAGTATCTGGTGTTACACTAAAATCAATACACAGTATCTGGTGTTACACTAAAATCAATACACAATTTATAAGTTAAACTAGTGTCATGCAAAGAAAATGAAATGGTGATTGAAGGGGGAAGGGGGACGAAGGCGGTGCCATAATGTGTTCACTGTCCATTCCACAATTGTAAACTGACTGTTATGGCAGATAGTTTTCAATAAAAAGGAAAAAAAAACTTATAGGCAAAGAAAAACCCAAAGCTGCAGTACTTTAACATCCATGACTGAACTATGCAGTCAAACAGATTGACTACAATCCAACTGATATTATTATCTATCAATAACAAGCTACTAGTCAGTAGTGTGAGGCAGACATAGCCTCCTCCGCAGGCATCACTAAGAATCACGGGCTTCCTGTCTTTTTGAGGAGTGACCGTTACAAAGGAAGCCCAAAGGAGGATAAGAGAGTTGCCTGTGGAGGAGGCTAAGGCAGACAAGTAGTTGAAGTTTCATCATCTCACCTGCCACGTGCACAAACACTTGACATGTCTACGGCAACATCTACTTGATGATAGGGTAACCTTGGTAACAGGGCAATAATCTTGTCTGCTATGGTATCACCACTGTGACTACAAGGACCAGCCAAGTCTAGTGTCCTGTCAATCAATACTAACGATGCTCGCCCATTGGCTGTCTGAAAGGGTCAAATTTATGTTAATTCTGATGTTCTTAAATATTTATGTGGGAAATATGGGTGATCCAAGGCCTTGTAATTGATAGTTACTCTGAGAAAAAACAACAATCATGTGATTGTATATTGTATAACTAAATCATGCACCCACCTTTCTCCGTCCCCTAGCAGCAGGCAAGTTAGCCAGTTCATTGGCTATTAGTTTGCTTAGATATCCCATGCCATAACAATCCTCATTGATGTCCATTAACTCAAACATGCTGCTAAGGCTGGCAGCAAACATCTAAAACATGATGATCAAGATCTCATATTGCATTGTAAAGTAACTATGGAAACGCAAGGCAAGTAAATGCTAGCTATGATGATATTGACATCACTTTCCTTCAAACCACATGACAATGAAAATAATTTATACAGCCATAGTAATTAATCAATGAGCTAATCTGAGTCACCTTGATCTTTACTTGAAGATTGTGAGGTAAATCAGACATGTCAATGTCACTTAAGGAATTGAACAATTTGCCTTTATCTCCCTGAAAATATATTTAATGCTTGATATGAACATGTAAGGAAACAAAAAATTACAGCAACCACCACATCCAACACAGCAATTAATTAATAATATAACAACAACCACACCCAACAACAATCAACAAACAAAGTGATCATTCAAAATATGGTATTTATTACTTTATTATTTACTGTATACATTTAAGTCTAAGTTTCATTTCATTATTATAATCAATTACAATTTTATCACTATGAATCAATGACAATTATTTTGAACACAATCTATAAATTAAAGGACACTTGACTGTGCAATGACTTTGATGTCAATGTTTAATGATACATTATAATTATTCACAGAATTATTAACATCAAAATTTCTGTGAAGGTCATTAGTTTCTAGTTATATCAACCATATTACATGTAACAAGACCTTTATTCTTATAACAAGATTTACAAATTAAAATAATTTTGTGAAAAGAATTTAAATTGCAATTTAACTCACTGTTGATCTAAGAAATCCCTGTAACCTTGCAATGTCGCTTGGCATGATGGGAAAAAACGTTGAAAAAGAAGGGGTGAAGAACAGACCTGGACATATTTGTGATGCAAACAGAGGCACATGGTGGATATCAACTGTTGAGTACTGACAAAAAAAATGAAGCCATTTAAACTAGACATTCAAAGTCAAATATATCTCTTTCAAAGTTACTTCGGATCCTTAAACTTGCATGAGAACAAGATGACTGTCARTAGCATACAATATGAAAGAAATTGTTCACAACTAGAGACAACTTCATAGCTAGCTCTTCTTGCCATCCAACAGCCAGTTGTCTTACAAAGGTGTAGGTAACCTTTCAAATATTATGAAGAGGAGAAAATATTTGTACACAGTAAAATATTATCGTTGTGCTTTTATGGCTGTTTATAATTTAAAAGTAAAAGAATTTGAAAAATAAATTTGAAATTAATAAAAATCATTTCCATAAAATAATAGTCATCTTTTCTTACTTAAAGGTTTTTCTTAATATTGAAAAATGTTTGTAAATTTGAAATCAAAATCCTTGTTAAAATATTATAAAATCCAAAGTACTTACAGGATTTCCCATCCATTCTCTTAGCTTTAATGACAGCTCTCCAAACACAGAGACTTCCATGGCATTGGTGTGTTTGGCAAATGCATTCACATACTCAGGCACAGTGCATAGTATAGTACAATGCTGAAAGTCACTACTTTGAACTATAGCACTGATGTCATCTAATATCTGTCCATSTATCACTGACGTCACTATGAATACTGCTTTGGTTTCTGATTCATTACCAGACTGATAAAAAATAAAATATTATTTATATATAAAATCATAGAGTAGACATACTGTAAAAGAAAGATTACATAAAATAAATTACTAAATGTGTTAATTATTATATAGACAATAGAAAACAAAGGAATAATTTTTAGTACTATTTCAAACTATTTACTAGTAAGCTTGACATATTTAATTCTATTTAAAGGGATGAAGATCCAAAATAAAATGTAAATACTTAATTATAATGCAATCGGTTATTACAAATTTCGAACTATTATGCAATTAAGACTTTTTACAAGAAAATGAGGATCTGAGAAACCCTGTTAACTGGAAACCAGAAATCTCCCTGATTTTAAGGTGATCTTGGTACAGGAATGATAATTTATCATTCAGAGGTTGTATGTGATGAAGCTTTGTTACAGGAAAAAATACTAAATAATGAAACAATAGCTGTTGTTCTTTTCAAAGTCAAATACCCTTCTCGATGAAAGATCGTAGACTGCAAGCGCCCCAGCTTCAAAGACATTTTTCACCTTTCCAGACCAATGAAGCATTTCTGCGGCTGGATTATCCATAAAAACCAAGGCATTATTGACAACAGTTAGGATTTTTTGCCAAACAGAAGAAATATTTTTATTTAATGAAACGCCAGCCGCCATGTTGGATTTGTTGACTAGTTCTCAGGCCCAGGCCGACGAATAACAATAATGCATCGCGCGCTGTCTTTAGCTAACACATAGGAGCAGCAGGAGGGTAATTGAAAAAAACAACAAAACAAACAAACAACAAACAAACAAACAAACAAACAAACAAACAAACAAACTAAAACAAACTAAAACAAAAACAACAAAAAAAAAGAGAAATGAAAAAAAAAAAAGAAAAAGAAATAGACAGTCGAGGACTGCATGTGACTCAGGCCATTAAGATATAGTAAACTTCGAATACAACGTTTTCTGAATTATCTGCAAGGAACTGGACGCATCAATTGTCGATCAGAAGAAAAAAAATACACAACAGGCGGCGATTAATGAACCTATTGTGATGATCAATCATTCCTCGCGACGCGAGGCGCCCTGTTTCCCTATCTATAGTAAACATATGCATACCATGATCATGTGAAAGATTCGCGGAAATTTTGATCCACGACATGCCGAGTCCTTAGAGCTTTAATAGGCCTTTTGCACAAAACGTTCACATGGCACAAAATCCACCACACTGGATGGAAATAGAATGTAAGCAACCTCAAAAACAAAAGGAACGCAGCCCGTCAAAACTTGACATACCTTTGTTTTGAACATCCCAATGGGAATTTTGCCATCCAGATATGGCGGATATAGCACTATGTGACGTTTCATACAAAAGGCCTATTTAGCTGTAGCCAAAGACATCTTTCTGTATCTGTTGACTTAGAAACTCATGATAAATTCTAAACGTTTCCTGCGATAAAATGTTTGTATTATCTAAACTGTATTTTTACATCCAAGTTAATTACTATCATTTGGCTGATTATAGTTTTGCAATAAAATTAACCCAAATATATTCAGTTAATTTTTTTCCATTCTTCAAGATTCCGTTATTAATCTTATACGGATTATCATTCATCTTCTTCAGTTGTTAACATTCACTATATTTACATTCAATAATTATTTGATAATCAATATCAATCCATTTGTAAACTTTTATATCATCAAGAACGAAGATGTGTAACCTTCGAGTGTAATGTTGGAGCTTCAGAGGTCGCCTTTACTTGTGTTCTGTTGAATCCCGGCAAATCCTATGGCAACATCTAGTAGCTGCCTGGTAGATTTTGGGCCGTGTTGYTTATTCGAATACTAGTAATGTCTGCCTGAGATAAGAACTGTACACCTAATTTTACTGTGATGATTTGGAAAACAATAATAACGACAATTGAACRGCTCGGTTAAATCCGTCACATTACATCGAAACATCGGTATTCGGCCGCAAACCGGCACTTAGCACCCATCCCCACCCCCATCAAATAATTATCCACTGAAAAATGATTATGCAAACCCTGGATCGTTTGCTAATTCCTGAGCTAAGCTCTGATTGGCTCGCTGYTCCCTAAGGATTTTGGTGACGTCATATATTAGCATAGAACTTCACCGAATAGACTACCCCCATTAGATATTAGATATCTATAAGTGTCTTCATAGTACGATGGTCTAAGAGGGTAGCTAAAGGTATGCTCTAGTGGGCGGCTACCCCCTCACTCCCTGGCCTTTTGGTTAAGACTAAGTTTTATGTTCACTCGGGATAGCGTGGAAGAGCCGAAATCTCTAACCGTAACGTAAGCCGATTCGCCGCCTCAGCTTCATAGAATGTCTCTGGGGAATCGTCCCATCTTTTTAGTTTTTTATTTTCACTTATTTCTAATGTATTCCGGGGGGGTACATCTTCTCCTGAAATGAAAGTTCTGAGTTCGAGCCCTGCTTCTGGAATTTCTCTTTTTTTGCTTGTTTCTTTTTTTGTTGTTTCATTTTTTCTTTCTTTTTTTCTTGTTCTTTTCTTCTTTTTTCTTTGCTGTTGTTACTTCGTTTGTTTTTGTCTAGAGATTTTCTCTTTTCAACCAGTTTTT